ATACCATGATATAAATTTTTGGTCATACCGCCCAGCACTACTTTGAGTGTTTCTGAATCGACTCTCAATTGCATTGCCGTTGACTGATAATTAACACACACTTATAGAAAGTGTCCGAACACAGCTTATGGAAAAGGGCGTAACACTGTGTGAAATGGACTAACACACTCAACTCAAGGCTTGCAGACACACAGACCCACAGTATACAAAAAAGTCCATATTTACTCAAAAATGGGTGGCTACAGTAGAAGTGGACACTAATAATTCTACAACAACAGGGGGAATCTAATAGACTCTTTTTCAGCATATCAACTGGGGAATTTATCAAATTTCCATACGTCACATACAATTCGTGCCTGACTAAAATGTTGGGACATCCTGAGGAAAAAAAGGGGCACAACAACAAAAAAAATTTCTTCTCATCCCATCCCACAAACCCCAGCTCTCACCCTCAGCCTGTGGCGAAAAAAATCATTTCATTGGTCACTTGAGCGCTCTAGGTTTTCAATCACTCTGCTCAAGCGGATGTTTAGAAGGCGGATCTGGGTATCGAGGTGGTCGATCTTCTCCTCCAGAGTTCCAGGTCCACCCCCTTTCCACCAGTATGCTCCCACTGGTCCCGTCATGAAGTACACGGCCATGATGAAGCACAGCGGCAGCACCGCTTTCTCAGGGTCACCCTCGAATTTCTGCAGAATGTACAGGCACGAGAGGGCGAAAAGGGCCACGCGGGCCAGCCAGAAGAAACGGCCGAACATCACTTGGAGGATGTAAAAGAAACCGCTCATGAACACAGACAGGAACCAGTAAGCCACCAGCAAGGCTGCCACCAGGAGGAGAGCACGAGCAGGAGAGCTGGACACAGACGATGGGCTGAAGTAGTGCGTCAGGTTAGAGGCTAATGAGAGAGAGAGAACCGGAGGGGAAAAAGAAAACACAGACAGACAGAAATAGAAGCAGAGAGAAAGTAGGGAGAGACATGAAGGAGGTTTTAAGGACATGATTTTTGGCATCACATACAAACAGTGGAGATGTGCTATTTCAGTCATTGACGCACATAAATGCAACAATTTTGATACAGACTTACAGTCAATGCCCATAACATCAAGCAGATCCACCCACAGTTTCCACAAGGTGTCCAATAATGAATCGACTCCATAAACAAACCTCTCTGTAGTTTTTGAGAAGAACTGCAAAACATTGACAAGTTGTTG